TACTTATTATTTTTAATTCCCCATTTCCTCACAACATCCCCTGCCATACCATAAGAAACTATTAATCCAATTACTGTCCCTATAAATTTACCTCTCATGGATTCATGTAAAAAAAAAAAAATTTCAAGCAACAATAAAACAGAAAATCTTCCATAGAAAATAAACCAGAAAATAATAAAAACTAGAATAAATTTAAAATAGGTCAAAAGAGACAACAAACGATAAGTTGTTAAATTTTAACCTGATTGCATTTGCATTAATCTCCATTCCAATGCACTTTATCTGATAGCAAGGCTGTTTAATCCACTTGGGGAGATTGCAGTTGGACTTTGGGCTTTCACTGTTAATCATAGCCATATGCAAACTGATGCTCAGAATTTAAGCTCTAATACAGTTCCCTCCCCCAATCTTGAAATTTATTATTTACAGTCCTTGGATCACACAGGCTGGCATGCTTCTTCTGTGTGTACTCGATTGATACCTCACTTAGCTGGCTGCTTATTTTAAGACAAGCCTTTAAGAGTCCAATTCTCTTATTTATTTTTTTTTATTTTTCAATTCTCTTCTTTTTTATAGCCAGGCACCATCTGATTTCTTCACCACACTTTGCTATAGCCCCTATATCTTCAGTGATCTCTTTATGAGGACCAGTATTGAGTAGGGCCACATCATAAGACCTAATTGTTTTAACATTAGGGCTACAATTACATGCACTGGCTCTTCAATCCTTCTTGCATTCCCAATATAACCACCTGTTTGCACATCCCTAAACATGCAAGCATGCCAGTGTGCCACACTGTGTTTCCATTTCAGGCTTTGCATGTGCTGTTCTTTGCTATCTGCCTAGAATAATCATCTTCTGCTCTCTGACTGATCTTTCATGGTTCATCTTCATACTGTTTTTTCTCAGAGCTTCATAATGCTGAATTGGTAGCTACTTCTACCAATTCAAATGCATGTTGAATGGACAGTTTCCTCAGATTTATTGTCTATCCAACATATGATCAAGATACTCATTGCTCAGTACACACTGTGATATAGAATGTACTCTCTATCTCTCCCTAATATCATTTTACTGGTAAGGCCTGTGGCATTAGAAAGGTATACCCAAAGTAATGAGAACTCAAAGGAAAGAATGGAACCCTATCTCAAGAGATCATGGAAGACTCTGTGGCATTTAAGCACTAAAGAATAGATAGGAATTGGAGATCCAGAAGATTTGGAAGGATTTACTGATTATAACCAACATGAATAAGACATAAATGGATGCAAAGTTGTGAATTGAATATTGCATGTGAGATAAAATGGTAATAAAAGCAAAGACATTCTATTGTTCATAAATAGGGGATTTTTATTTTCTTGGTTTATAAACTAGAAATCTTTTATCTTGCCGAAGTGTCGTCTATAAAATACCCGGATGAGAATTGCTGACGTGATAGTGAAAAGAAAGACTAAACAATGACTTCATGAATAAAGGTAGCCTTGGAACTACAATGCACAAGCTTTAAAGCTTCTTTTGCCCAATATGAACCCTTAATAGTGATAAAAACCTCAGAGCAAAGAAAGCGCTCTAACCCAGAAGTGGCAGTGGCTTAGAGACAGTGGATGGTGAGGAAAGAAAGTGATTTTAGAATAAAAATGAATTACAAATTGATCTTTCTGTGACCTTAAACAACTTCCTTTCGCCTTCCTTCATTTCAGAGGAGTAAATAATGGACAAGGAGCCCTGGTGGTGTAATGGGTTGCATGTTGGGCTGCTAGGCCTGTAAAGATTCACAGTCTCAGAAATCCACAGGCCCCTGAGTCAGAATGAGCTGGATGGTAGTGAGCTTGATTGAGAAATGTGGATAACAAGTACTTTAAAGAATTGATAGAATTAAATGAGATAATGTTTTGAAAATACCTAACATAATGCCTGGCTTAGAATGGGTATTTAATAATTTTAACTTTTGATGGTTGCTATTCTGATTCATAGAGTAAAAGTAGTAGCCTTATTGGAGAGATTTTTTTAGGCCTTTTCCTGGTGAAAGCAGACAGACTTAGATATGAAGCCCAGCTTTTATTTTAGTATCTTGGATGAACTTGGGCAAAGTGCTTAGTTTTCTGAATCTCAGATTTTGCAAATCTAAAACGAGTCCAGTATAAAGCTTTCTTCAAGAGCATTAAAGAAGAGAATCAATATCAAGTCTAGCACCGGAGCTTAATCTAGGAAGGGAGACTGACAAGTTAATGTTAGCATTGCTATATAGTTGGTGCTAGAGCAAGTATCCGTGCTTTCCCAACAGTCAGGGCCCTTTGGGAGACTTTAGAGTTTCTTTCATTTGCTTCCCTCTTAGTTTATTCCTTCTATTTTTTATTTTAAAAATTCCATTTGTACTGAAATTCAGCATTAACTCTAGGAGAGTAGATTTCCACCTAGACAGGTTGAGCCATTCATCTGTGAATAGTATTTTCTGTGAGTTGGTCTACTGTCATCAGTAATAGTGCTTGGCTGCACTGAACCACTCACGTTTGTTAGTTTATTTAATCATTAATCATATACTTATTGAGCACTGTGTATACCTCAGACATTTCCTCAGTTTCCTGTGCAATAGTCAATTGCCAGAATACTTAATTCTTCTAAAGTGTATAGGGAGTATTGCTTCATACCATGTTTAGGGCTTTAGGGACTACTTCCATACAGAAATTTCTGTTAAATACTCCCAGTCTGGATGTCCTTGTCTCTTCCTTGCTCCTGTCAAAGTTTAAAGGACTTACCTGATGTCAGTGCCCTGGACATCCAGCAGTGTTGCAGCTGTGTCTGTGTTACTTCTGTCTCCACAACAGATGTGGTTGGAGAAGCTCCTGCCGGGTAATGTTGACTTCCAGATGGTGGGCGTGGGGAAAAGAAGGTGTGACAACAGGAGGGGAGACCTCAGGAAATGGGTGACAGGAGGGAGAAGACAGGTAGTGGACAGAGGAAAGATGTAACGGGTAGCACAAAGAGGGAACTGTATGGAAAGGGTGTGCCTTGATAGATGTCTGATAATAGAAACTGATGCATATTTTGCAATTAGAAAAATAAATATCTGAAGTTTTGCTTAAACATACACGTATACAAAGCTACTGTATTTATCATCTACAAAGCTTGTCTAACCCTGAGAAGAAAAATTAACCACCTGATACTTATGGAAGAAGCTCTGGTGGCACTGTCAGGAAGGCATTGGACAGCTAACTGAAAGATTGGCAGTTCAAACCCACCGAGGGAAAAAAATAAGGTGATCTGCTTCCATGAAGATTGACTCTTCAGAAACCCCAGATCGGTTTGCTGTGACTCAGAATTGACTTGATACCACTGAGTTTGTTCTGGTTTGGGATACTTCCAGAGTCCCTAAAAAAAGCCATTGATGCTAATTGTTAATTCATTAATCAAGTGTTAAGATCCTAGTGAAGAGCTTAAGGATTTTTCAACTACTCAGGGAACAAACAGCCCCTCAAAATAGAAAGCCAAAATACTTCTAGAGTCTGACTTTAGGGAACAGAAAGGTCTTACCTCACAGGTTTGAGATGCTCAAAATCCAACCCGGCGTTTTGGCCACAGAGATTATGTCTCTGTGCATCTGTTCAACGTCCTAGTGACTGCTGTTAATCTGGCATTTTTTGTTGCATATCAGTGCATCTGCTTCTGTCACCACATAGCGTTTTCCCCTGGATATCTCCCTCGGTGTAACTTTACTCACCTTTTATAAGACACCATTCCGTTTAGGACCCAACCTACTGTGGTGTGAGCTCACCAATAGGAAAAATAAAGCTTTGTTGCAAACATGATCATCTATACAGGCCTAGGAGTTAATACTTCAACATATATATTTTTGGGGACATAATTCAATTCATAGTAGATAATTACTGTGATAGAGGTATACACAGGTTGCTATAGAAACACATGTCAGAGTGATAGTCAAAATATTAAACAATCAGTACAGTACAATGACCATGAAAATGGATGCCAGCTATAAACCACCGAGATTGCTATACCAGTGCACATTAGTTGGATATCAACTTGAATATATGAAAGGGCATCTACTTAGTATGGGGACCCAGTGGTCAATGAAGGCTTCTTGGCGGAGTGGAAATGAAACCTGAGCCAAATCTGGTAGAACAATGGTTCTCAATCTGTGGGTCATGACCCTTTGGGAGTGGAACCACCCTTTCACAGGGGTCGCTTAAGATCATGGAAAACACATATTTCCTATGGTCTTAGGAACCAAGACACCGCTCCTCTATCCTTCTCCAGGTGGGTCCTCCCACATGCAGATACGCCCACATACGAGTACCAGGCGTGAAGACTGTTATTCCATGCTTCAAGACAAAATTTCATTGATTTGTAATTAGAAATAAATATATCACAATATATAATTACATATTGTTTTTGTTATTAATCACTATGCTTTCATTATGTTCAATTTATAACAATGAAAATACATCCTGCATATCAGATATTTGCATTACGATTCCTAACAGTAGCAAGATTACAGTTAGGAAGTAGCAATGAAAATAATTTTATGATTGGGGGGGGGGTCAACCACAACATAAGGAACTGTATTAAAGGGTCGCAGCATTAGGAAGGTTGAGAACCACTGTGGTAGAGGAAGTAGGAGGTAGCTGGTTAGATAATGGGAGAATTGATTGGGGAGGCTTGATTTACCCAATCAACCTTTTGTATGCCTCCCAGGTGGGAGTTGTTTGATTTCTCAGCACCTCATCCAAAATTTATTCTTAACTTAACTAGTTGTCTGATCTCTGTTACATTAAGATTTCAGTTAAAGCTGAAAGTTTACCAAAGTGAGCTTCAGACCAGAATTGTCATGGGAGTTAGATGAGATGGGGCGATAGAGAAATGGACATATGCAATCCATATAGAAAAATAACTAGCAAAAAGCCTAGTGACCATGCTGAGACTCTGCACTCAAGAAAAGTTTAGTACTTATTTTGTGAAATAATTAAATTATTTCTTCTTATAGATAATGACTTTGTCTCAGAATATTGCCCAACTGGAGGCCCAGATGGAAAAGACTTTAAGAGAGAAGACTTCAGCTACTAATCAACTAGAGGAAACGCAGCACCAGCTTGCTTCTAGGGAAAAGGATGTCACAGAGGTAGGAAGGAAATCTTAGTGAAATGATTACTTTGATAGATATATTTTTAAATGTTTCCTCAGTGTGCGTGCAAAGCTTTTACTGGTATCAGAGAAAATTTTGGAATAGATTTTTTAAACCTCAATAATAATATTTATATATGATGATGGGGAAATAGATCTATGTGCATATATTTATAGGTTTAGTATTAAGGTAGCAGATGGACATTGGGCCTCCACTCAAGTACTCCCTCA